TCGTTCTGACGGTGCACCCCAGCATCCTGCGGGCCGGGATATGGCGACGGGGGCGCCTGGCTCGGGGCTCAGACCTTCTCCCTGGGTGACCGCACTCGTCCTGACGGTGCACCCCAGCATCCTGCGGGCCGGGATTTTAGTTTTATTTCCCGGTGATGGGCCCAGGAGCGACTGTCCTCAGCTCTTCAAACGTTGGGGTCCCTGGACAGTGGGCAGGACCAGGCATCTGGTCGCTTCTCCCAGCACCTCTACCCTGCTCTTGGCTCGGCTTCGGGCACCTCTGAAATGAAGGCGGGGGGAAGGGGCCTACAGGTGCAGCGGGCTGTCGCATCTCTGAATCTGCTCTATCTCACACCAGGGACCGAAATCAAGAATTCGAGATCTTTGGTTCCAGCCAGCGTGGGGCTGTTCACAGCGGGGAAGCACGGACCCTGCCTTAAAAATGTGCCAAATTTCGTATTGGTCTGTCTCAGTGTAATGCTTCCTCTGTCCACCCTGCGCCTTTCAGCTTTCAGTGTTGGGAGGGGGGATGACAAAGTCTCACTGCGGACAGGAATCAGTGCGCATGGCCCCTCCGGGAAGGTCAAAGATATGCAATAAAAGGAAGATGAATTTTTCCTGAGGCTTCCGCTTGGTTTTCAGTCAGCAGGACCTCCGTGAATGATGGATGGATGGATGATGGCCGTTGGGATGGAGTCCTTAGGAATGCACACGAGGCGGTGAGGTTGAGGGTGGTGGGGGGTGGGATGGGGGGGCGCAGCTCCTGCGGGGTGCACACGGCCCACCGCAGCCTGCGGCCCACTGCGCCTGGGCTACACTGTGCAAACAGTTCTTGGGCTGATTTATTTCGACCAAATTAAAAAGCGATTAGCGTCCCCTGCAAGTGATTTATAGGGAGGGACGATGACCCTTGACTAAAGGCCGTTGAGCTTTAGTCTCTCTTCTGGAAGAGAGACTTCCAGAAGTCGCCGAGCTGGCTGAGAGGCGGGCGTGTCTGCTTCGGTCGGCAGGAGGACAGTGACAGCGGCCCTCCAAGACCCGCAAGCCCACACCCGAAGTGACTCTGGGGTGAAACAGCGTGCCTGCTCAGCCCACTCCATTACCAGTTGGCCCAGGGGGCTCCGTTAGCTGGTCCACAAGGACATATGTGACAGCCGCTGTCATTCTAGAAAGCTCCGGGGAGAAGAATGAGGTTCCGGCCAGGCAGGGAAAGTCCCTCTGTCACCTCTGTGCTCGCACTGTGGTGACAGCCACTTCAGAGTTCTCGCCCGCTGTGGTGTGATTCTGAATTTCCTAGAAGGGTGAAGAGCCACCAACGGATCGTGTCTGTTGTCCTCGTGTGACCCTTCCTGCTTGGTGACATCGTCCGCGATCTATTTTCAGGACAAAAATTAAAAATCGGCATCAGACAGACTCTGGTGCCCCAACACCTGAGTTTGAGTTTTGTACACACACATGCACACCTGCACATACACATGTGGACATATATATGTATTTGCACATGTGTATGTGTGGCAGCCTTGGCCAAGTCCCCTAGCCTCTCTGTACCTTGGCTTCTCTGTACATAAAACGGTTTTGTGAGGATTAAAGGAGATAATATAATTTATACGGCTCTGAGAAGAAAGCCTGACACATTGTAAACACTAGTCAGTGTTAGCTATTACCGTTTGTTCAATATGTCCAAGTTTTAAAAGGTCGGTGGCTAAAACGCAATGCCAGCTCTCTTAATGGCAATGTTTAGTCAATAATCTAAAGAGATGGGAAAGTAATTCTTCTTGGAACTCAAATAAAGGTATTGTCATTTTGAATGGGAAAACTTTGTAGGTCATGGTTATTTAATTTTTTTTTTTAAATCTGGATCTCAGGTATCTTTGTATCTTTGATCCCTACCATTTACTACAGTGCACAGTGTCTGGAATGAAACATAGGAAGGGAGGGAGGGAGGAAGGAAGGAAGGAAAGAAGGGAGAAAAAAGGAGGAAAGGAGGGAGGGAATATTAAATAACCGGCTTTATTTATATCAACTGTTGAATATTCATTAGATGCAGTGATTTATTTTTTTTTGGTTCCTACCCATCAGAAGCAGATTCAAAGCAGAACAAACGTCAAATTATTTTGCAAATAATAGATTCTCCACTGATGGGATCTGAGTGGAGCGAACATGAACCTGAACCAAACAGCTGTGTGGTGTTAGCATTCGCAAGGAAATGACACAAAGCCCGGAGCAGCTCCTTTGCCCCGCACCTCTCGGCCATCTGCGGTCGCTCTTCGCTTCCTGAACGCTCCTGTCCTTTAGGTTTGCCTGGAACTGAGGGGGCTTCCAATGGCCTGGGACTTAGTTTTAAAACTGGGATGATCCTGGTAAAGCACAGATAGAAAAATAAACAAAACCACCGGGATTTTAGGGCTTTCGGAATCATAGAGACTTTAGACATACACGTATAGACCGCCCTGACAGGGGACCATACTGCGTCCTATCAAAGGGAGCCTGCACCCAGGTGCTGCAGGGAGAAATAATCGGAATCACCTGTCCCGTAGGTAATTCTACCTTGGTTGGATAGTAAGCAAAAGTCAGATTCGATACGGTACTTTAATAACCTATTTATTTTAAAATGTGTTCCTGATTATGTCTTCTCTTTTGTTGTTAATCTCTAATGTAAGGTGTTTCATCTTTGTTTTTGATGTGAAATCCATAGAGGAAACTGCGCAAATCAAAAGACTCGGATCAATGAATTATCATAGAGTGAAGACACCTATTTAATCATGACTCAGAGAAATAATGTCTAATGGAAAAAGAACCTCCAACAGTGGAAGAATTGTCTTTTTGTTCTCTGAGACATGAATTCTCCACATCTGGACTGTGTTCCTTGAGTTACCTAAACTGATGCCTGCGACTAGCTCCCAGAACTCCAGGTAGAGCATTAAAAGAAAATGGTGCAACCTCTGGTGAGCCTTGAGAATATAAACTGCTTTTCAGTGATGGAAAACGTTACATTAATTAGCATTTTCATATAAATGTTTTTGATAAAAATAAGAGTAGACATATGACTGTGTATGTTTCCTTTCTTTTGGAAACGACGCCTGTGGGTTTATTTGGCCACAGCAGCTGTTAATTCCGGTTTGCATGGCGGTAACAGATAAACGCAGGTGGAAGGCCCTGCAGTACTGGTGATGCGGCGTTATAAACGTTGCTGACGGTGACAGCTACTTGGTCAAGTCTCGATTTTTTTAGATGATTCCTTTTTAAACAGTAAGAAACGGAGGCCATCTGACTGGAGTACATGGCAGGCTAAGGGGAGGCCTGGAGGTCCCACGCGGGCACAAAGCAATTAAGTGGAGCTCTCACTGAAACTGCTTTCTCAGCCAAGATGCAGCGTGACTGATCACAAGTCAAACCCCACACGTGTCAGACAGAGAGTCTGCAGGTAAACCTGGCCCAAGGCCACGGCCACTTCGCTTCGCTGGCTAAGTGCAGGGAAAGCCACTTAGCGGTCTGCACCGGGAGGTCTCCGGCTGCGCGTCCGCGCACGCCACGGAGCTCAGAGGGCGGAGGCCGGGCAGTCGCCCGAGC